CAATACCAATGAAAGAAGTATCTAGTCTTTGAAAGCATTTAATTGTATTTTCTTACCTGCATGACGCACAGCACATGCCCGAAGCGTGTGTCATAACCAAAAGTTATCATTTACGTCAAGAAAATACCGAAAGATAGAGAGTGCCAAAAAATTATAAGGAATGTTTTTAAACTTTATGTATAAAATGTATGCTCGTCGATAGCAAAAGGAAAATGAAACAATCAAGGAAACTTTTGTTATATAGGTAAAATAATCCCATAATAATTATTATACTGTGTAGTGTATACTATAAACTAAAAAAATCCCACTGTATACCTAGTATCTTAAATATGAGACATTATTTAATTAAGAGCCGAATTTCAAAATATATTGCGTGTTTGGTTTCAAACAATTTTAACAGATCAACATATTTATGTTCTTATAATGCAAACTAAGACAAAGGAATTGAAATAGACTTGAAAAGAATGAAAGAAAAGAGGTTTAATATTTATGTATAAAAAAAATAGCTGTTAGAATCAAACACTAAGCTTTTTTGCTAGTTCCATGTAAAGCATTTTCCATTTTAATATTAATATAAATTCCATGCATTGATAGCATAAATATCACCCAAAAGAATTATTTAATTAAAAGGTATATTGGTATGACGTTATCTTAATAGGGAAAAGAAATGCCCGTAATCAAAATCCTCCATTTAGGAATTAATAGTCAAAAATAGATTGAAGCAATAATAAGAATTATATAGCTACGTATTATCATTGAGAAAAAACTGAACACTATTATTATACTTGTTTTAATAGATAAATAAATTTATTTAGACACTTTCGACTCGTCTGCCCGTGATCACGCTTGCTGTAAAGGAAACGAATCTTTAGCTCACGTAAATATAAAATTATAAAAAACCCGTCGTATAGGAAAAGTATTGTTCCATTTATTTCAATATCCAGTTTATAAAACTATTCAATAATTATACCGTTTTCATGCGTGTCGGTTGGAGTTTGTTCTGAGAAAATGTTTATATATTTTGTCAGAATTAATGTGTCTGCCAAATAACGTTCAAATTTCCTGTATTTACTTAAAATAAATCAATTCTAAAACATAACGATGATAACTTATGAGACGTAGATGTACAAATTGAAAATTATAGCTTATAAATAGCTACCTGATATAGAGTTGTGTCATTGTCACCTGTCACGTTAAGGATATATTGACTTTAAGAAAATAGATAATAATTATAAATTCCTCAATATATTTTGAATCGATATTTTTATATTCATTCTTAGCTTTCTTCACTTTTATTTATTTTCCGTTGTATGTATTGTAGATTCTTATTAAAATGACAAAATGTTGGTTTATTGAATAACAAAGGTTTGGTAAACTAGAATAATTTTCTGTTTTTGTACCTATCTATTTTTCCTAGTCAATACTTCAAGGAAATAGAGTTATATAAAATTATAATTAAAAACAAAATACTTGCTTCTCTAAATTAACGGCTTTGAAGTCATTTCTATATTTATACTATGATAGTGAGTTTCTACATAGTATCTAGATACGGTAACATGCTCTAATTTCGAATTCTGTTAAAAATACACCTGACAACAGGAGTCTAAAACTGAGTTGAAGGAAAATTAAAAATATTATAATATGTTTTATATCTCTTTTTTACGCTAATAGTGTTAAAAGTTAGAAAAAGGTGAAGTAGAAATAAAACAATACTGATTATTTAATGTTATTATTAATAAAAAAGAAGAATTTAATTAAAATAAAAAAGAACACTTTTAATTAAGAAAAAAATATTTTTTAATTTATATTGACATACCTGTGCCTCCATCTGTTGTTTATAAGCTAAACTACTTAACGACTATATTTAATACTACAAACAGAAGGACCTTTGCTTGTAGCTCCATCTAACTGAGCTTAAAAATATTAAAAATAACTGTATTTCTTTACACGCCATCTATCGGTGGAGATAAAAGCGAAGCAGTGGTGCGAAAGGCTCCACTGCTTTCGTACGACTGAACAGCCTTCTATATCGCGCTATCTATAAATAAAAGGCTACTGTAATCGAGAGCGGCTTCAATACTATTTTGAGGTTCCTATCGAGGCTACGACCGTAATAACGAGCGCGTTAGTAATTCGTTAGCAACGGCGCGTTATTGGTCGTTATTATAACGTCGTTATTTCTGGATTTTTGCACACGGCCGCTGTTTATAGTAACACGCGCTAGATGGCCTCACCTTTTCCAGGCGTGATTTGTACAACGGAACACTTAAGACTTTAGTGTATTAAATAACGTGAACAACAAAATATATTTAGCGCCGTTAAATCTTTAGCGGCTCTATGTTTCTTTTAGATATTTCTTATATATTAATAACTCCCTGGTAAATTAAATCTGGCTTTTGATAGCAACTATATATTATGTAATCATTTTATTAATATTTTACATAGGAATTTTTAGGAAATTTTTATATTGTGATTTATATTTTGTAATTATAACTATTGCTTTAAATCAAAATATTCCGAATCTCTGTCGTGTTGATATTAAAAGGTATTCTTAGGAAATCTAAAAGATATAAAATTTAACCGATTTAACACATGAACTATTTGTATTATTGTAATTTGTTTATCTGTACTACACAATATAAAGGTTAGCTGAGGTGAAAATAACAAATGTATAGACTTATTTATATAATATTTATATCTCAAACATAATGAAATTACATTTATCAAATATTATTAGTTTTTACAACTAAAATACTAATAATTGTAGTATTTTGTTAAACCTAAATTATATAAAAGTATTCTTGAAGTAGAATGGAAATGTTGAAACATTAAATAAATACATCTGGGGACATTATTGCTTCCACTTCATTTGATCAGTACACATTTATTTAATATCATTTCAAAGAAACCCTTAACCAATAAAATGACAAAATTTCATTTAATTTTATAAAGAATATATATTTTTTTAAATTTAATATAAGCTATGAAATATCATTAGAGATGTTTAGATGTACTTTTATAATATTTTTGAACAATTTATGATATAGACAACAATTAATTTTTATTATTTTATTAAGATATATATTTTTTATTACTTCTTAATAATTTATTTTAATTTTTCTTTATTCTTTTTAATACAACATTACAGATCAGGGAAAAACCTTTTTTTGTATAAATCTCTATAAATACAATTTTCTTTATTGAGTATTTAAGATCATTAAGAAAAGATATTTTATTCTTTTTTGATATGTAATTTGTTATCTCTTATGTATAACATTTCAGATTTATCACTATAATATATTGTTTATAAATTGTAGAACTAAAACCTCCTTTTTGTAGGATCCCTATATTTTTAGCAAAGTCATTAGGTCTATGTATTTTGAGTGTCATTTTGAAATGCAATACATACAAATATATTTATATACGTTTGTCAATTCTCACGCCATCTATAAACTTTGAATGTCAATTGTTTTTGAATGTGTTGTTAATACAAATCTGAAATGTTTCTTTTTTGTAATAATGATAAAATATAACCAGAAAATCTTATATAAGATTGCAATTATCTAATTTCTTTAGACCCCAGAAGGTTGTGGCTTATTTAGTTTTGATTTACATCTGTATTGACATTTTATGATGTCTTAATTTTGTTGTAATAAGTTTTTCAAGTCAATACAATTAATGTCACACGTTATCTACGGAATATAAAAAATACATAAATTTGTTGTGATTATTTTACATTTGATTTTTATTATATTATACAATTATATTTATTATAGCCGTCAATACAAACAAAAAGAATTGCGATAAAACGGTCGTATATTTAAATATAAATGTTTGTTTTTTTCATATATTCCATAAACTATAGATATATTTTTAAATAATTGAAGCAATAATGAAGCTTAAATATAATTTTGTTTTCTGTTTAAACTCATTTTCTATTTGTTTTAATTATATGAACACAATAATAATATATATCTGCTTGAATTTCTGTATGTTTTCCTTTGATGAATTTTATAGAATCTTTGACTATATACTCAAAACGATGCTGTAATTTCTAAGACGTAGATTCTTATCCTTCTAATGTAGATACATTTTTTAGTTTATTTAACATAATTTTATTTACATTGTTATATATTTATATATTGTAAAGATCGTAATGAAAATGTGTTCGTGAAAATTTATGTTTATACTGAGCGTAATCAATCTAACAAAAAGAAGAAAACATTGTATTGTTTTGGTACTTCCCATGTCGAATTTACTGTGATCTTGTTTACCTACTGTTTCATTGTAAACTTAAGTGATGAAAAATTATTAATTAAAATATTCATTTAATAAATATGTGGAATACAACTTGTTTTTAATATAACAAATTTACAGTACTTAGTATAAATTTACTGTTTTATTAAGACTTATAAATGTTTAGATATGATAATGAACTCAAAATATGGGATTTAGTTCTTCGAATTTTGTATTGTTCTTTTTTTTATAATTATCAATGCAAAATAATTTAGTTCTTACTGTGAAAATGGGCTTTGAATATGTAATGAAAAAAATAACTTGATGTTTTTGAGTCAATAATTTATCAATGCAATTTGTTATTTATACATATCATAAAAGTTATTTATTTTTTCTATAACATACTTAGTTATAAATAAATAAATTATAATATCTGTATTAAAGAAAACAACCTTTATTCGTGAAGTAAAACAGTAATGGTAGAATTAAAATCATAGTAGGTAAATAAATATTTTATTATAAAAAAAAAACTATAATAAAATGGAAATAAATACAATTTCTTACGCTAAATACAAAACCGAAATGGTGCTACATGACAAGATATTACCGATAGGTAAGTTTCATGCTATCTTCATACAAAAGAGAACATTCTATCTTACACGTGATGACTAAAGCACTGGATGCAGTCTTAGAACAGCTTCGAGTACAGTTTTGTACATTAAACTTAACTTAGTATCACTTTGTGAGATTTTAAGGTCAAGTATTCACTTGCCGAGCAGGATTTTACGACCGGCGCCGATGTTTTGACCGGATTGAGTGGCACCTTTGTTGGAACCAGCTTGTAGACCTACGATAGTCTGACCGGCTTTCAAGACTTCTTCGGAGAAATCACGCTTGCATTCCTCAGAAGGCTTGGGTCCTAGGTAGGGGCCGTTCCATTCAGGGTGTCTGTAGGTCTGAGGAAAAAAAAACATATATATATTAAATATAATAGTTCGTAAACCTTACAATATATGAAGGTCGTACGGTCATGTCTAAAATTGGCATATACTCAACATTTAAATTAACAAATGTCTCGAATGTTACATTCTGTTATACGTCATTTGAGTAATAAAATAAGTAATAAACATGTCAGAGATCGTTACTATATTTTAAATGAAGGAAATTCACTGCAGTCTATAAATAATATGCAAAATGTTTACATTTCAATGCTTGTTTTACCCGTAACTTCCTTCGTTTGATGATTACGAGCAGTTACTTCAAATAGTTTGAACATTATTTGTACTAAAAGTGACAATTACCTCACGGCCAAGAGCGAAGAGTGTGCTGACAACTTGTGCGATGTCTTTCTTCTCCCAAAGATCAACAGTTTGGAATACATCAATATCTGGGACACCGTACGCTTTGATGGCAGATTGGAAGCTGTAATATAGAAGAATTAATTTAAATAATTGCTCATTATGACGATAAGCACTTCTCAAATATGTTGATTTCGCAAGAATTCGTTAAGCACTGTCATTAATCTCTTTTAGCAAGAACATTTTAATTGTTAGTAATAAAATCTATTCAAGATATTCACACAATTTCTTTGATTGTTCGTTTTTGTGACTTACTTTGTGATGTTTTCCATCATTTTGAACTGACCGCCGGACGAGTTGATCTTGGGGACTGATCCTGGCTTCAGTTTGTTGATGAGCTGGCACAGAACAGTTCCATCTTTGAGTACATCTTCAAAGAGTTCACCGGGAGGGAATTTAGCGCCAAGGACGCTTTCGATCCATCCCTGGGCCTCCTTCTCCTGTTCAGGGTTACGCTTGGCAGCGAGCTATAAATAATAATCATCATAAGTTTTTTTTGTGATTTTTGTAAAGAAATAAAACTTATGTAACTGATATGTGTGGAAAGAAATGGTTTTATAAATAGTAATGTCTGACCTTAGCGCGGACTTGGCGTTCCAGAGACATGTCTGTTAATGTTTAGTGCTGTTTTCACGTTGGATGGCACTAATAGACTGAACTCCTGTATTTTCAAGTCTCGTATTTATAGAGAACATGTTCCGCCCTTCTGGAAAACTCGTCGCGTCTCCGATGAGGATACGGATTAAGCTTCTGACTCAACAACCTTACGAAGGCGCTATTCTTATAAAGAGTAATTTGATTATATGTTTATTTTTAATCATATTTTTTTTGTTTTTATATTTCGTAAAATAGATTTAAATGATCGTATTTCATTTCATTATTTTATATCACAAATTGAATGAAAAATTTCAATTTTTATCATATAATTAGTTGAAAATCTTTTTATTTCTTTGTTCGACCGTATTATATAGATACATTTGTTATTAATACATTCTTACTGCGTAGTAATCTTTCATCAAATTCGTCTATTGTGGCTTGTGGAGAGCGGAAGATTTAAATCTATATATGTATGTATGTATAAGTATGAAAATTAATACAAAATTGCATTGTATTATGTCTTGGTGGCAAATTCCATATTAATGTTAAAACTGAAAAAGTGGAAATAAGCCTTGAAGTAAAATAATTTGACAATAAAAATAATATGCCTTCTTTAAAAGCCATCAAGCGTGGTATCGAAATGTATATTTAGAATCGATAATAAAATTTTAGAATGCTAAAGCAGACTATAGAAAATATTTCAATAAAATAGTAAATAAAACAAAAGTGTGATTAAAAGTATATACAGATATCGTAGTCAATGTTGCCATTTACTTTTAAATAATAATTATTGTAATTGATATACAGACTTATTGCTTACAATTTATATGATACCTACTCTAAATTATTGAAGTAAATTCATTGAAATGTCATCAAGATGTCAATTTGATTTGATAATTATTTATGTACCTACATATCATCGGTATCTCAAATACGGTCGGGTTTTTGATTTTGTAAATGCTATTAAGCCTTTTTTTTTGTTTATTTTTAGTCCTTCATAATATACATGAAGAGAGATTTTTTAAATAAATAGATTTGTGATTTTTGCCCTTACTTATGTATTTTTTATTGGAACGTTTTTTTTAATTTTACATATCACTCAATATTTTATATCGGAAGATCTATTTTATAAAATGGAAAAAAAATGTTTAAGAATAACAAATATGTAGATGTGTATGAAGAATTTAAACAATAATGAAAGAACAAGTCACGTCATATTATATCTTCAGAAATATATATAATAACTGAAATAAATGTAATCGAATATAAAAATTAAAACCATAAATTATTTAAAAATAAAACGTAGTTTATACATAGTAACTGTATAAAATTTAGTTAAAATACTTATAAAATAAATTTCCGAATAAAGCTTTGCGGATAAACGAAACTTATTTATTAGTAAAACTAAAATAAATATACGTCAATTTGACGTTAAAATAAATATGTCTATTTTGAATTCAACTGTCATACAAAAGAGTTATATTAAAAAGAGTTGAAAATCAAATAAAAATATGAATTTTGTGTATGAAATTTTATCTCATAGTGTAAATTGAGAACAATGACGAAATCCTCCTTCAGTGGACGGAAATTCTTATGAAGTGATTAAACAAATTAAAATGTTCTCTACATATAATTGTCATTTGATATTTTCTTTCACATGTAACATTTGTTTTCAAGAATTTTGTAAGTATTTTCGTTTAATTTTTTGAAAGAATTTCATTAAAATGGATTAATTTTGCCAATTTTTAGTTCTTATTTATTAAAAATGACGTTCAGAAAGCCCATCTCACACCAATAACTGCTAATGTCATTTTGTTCGGAAATGAAAAAAGTCTGTTTTTAGTTATTATTTAATCAATTTGTGTTTTTACGCATAAAATCCAGAAGTAAGAATTTTTTTCTTTAATATAAATTAAAGCTCTTATTTGACAATTATAATTCCGAAAATATAAGTATCGATTTTCTGAAATTTCTTATGCTCATTACGTATTATTTTCAATATGTTTAGTCCGAGTTGACATCTTTACACTAGAAACGTAGAGTTAAAAGTTTCCCATTCCTAAGTCTTCAAAAATAATGATATAAACGTAGGTTTTTGTAGGCGAAACGCGAAACTTATCGTATGTAGTGTGACATGCACTTTGACTAAGGTAATGAGATCTAAGATTTTCGTGAGTACTTTTAAATGAAACTAATATTATCGGATTTACCACGCGATTCTTTAATTTTGACTATAAACTACATACTCGGAACGTTTCAGTTACTTTACAGCAACCGTGATCGTGAAAAAAAACGGTAAAAATCGCGTAATAAATCCGAAATTATTAGTTTCATTTGAATAAAATTAAAGTTGTTTTGTTAGTGAAAAACGAGCATCGTCAACGCTCGAAAGAATCTGACGACTGGTCATTGTCACATACATGTATTGACGGCCTCATGCAATAAATATTAATGGTTTTTATAAGCTATACGTCTTTCTTAAAGTATTTTTTATGTAAAATAAAAATAATAAAGCAAATACTTTATGTACTTTAACCTAATAGCCATCAACATACGTAAAGTACTTGATGAAATTTTAATTTTCAGACATTTTTTTTTTTATTATATAATTTATTATTTTTTGTATAGTACGATTTAAAACTGAAGTTTTAAAGATATTTCTTCATAATGTTTTAAACGACTAAAATATTCTCACATAATATTTTATCCGGAATGTAAGTAATTTAAAAATATACGCCATAAAATATTTCAAAGGTGCTGAAATATTCATTGATAATTATATTTGATGTTTTCGTATCCTTTATTTCTTGATATTCACTGCAAAATTCTTAAGCATATTCTCAAATTTCACACAAATTTTATTATATGTAATATATAAATTTTTTATACATCAATGTATTATATTGGTGTTTTATTGCATAGTCTGTTTTAACGACAATCTCTCTTAAATTGATATTCAAGACAATTCTCTTACATATTGGCCACTACACGTCTAATTTCTGTTCACTTTTCAGACGTGTCTTTACGAGCCGATCAAGGCTACGGTTTTGTAAACATGAGCCAAAAATAAAACACATGTATTAAAACTAACCAACTAACTAACTGTTTTTCATCAAAACTACATAGTAATGGGAAAATATTACCGATTTTTTACGTACCGGTTTAAAATAAGTATCGGTTCTTGATAAACATATAAAAAAACCGTTATAAGTTTATTAATTTCTTTATTAAAACACCCTCCATCTCCAGTATTACACACGGAATACAACACTAAAATGCATGATACATATGTACAGTTTAATACATATTTACAACAATGTTCAAACAAATTCAAATAGTTACATTGAATTCGTTTTATTCTAGTACGCATTGTTGTTGAATTCAAAACAACATATCGCCTATATTTTATAAATTAATAAAATTAATGAAAACAAATGATTATTAGACTAGATTAAATTGTTTAACTATTACAAACTACACTTATCACAACGCAGTTGCTACGATCTGTAATATCTTGCTGGTTAAGTATGTAGAAACATGGTTTTAAATTCACTATATAGACTTAAACTATTGAGATATCAATATTAATGTTATTTACAATATTTATCAAACAAATGAAATTATATAAACAAAAATCTAAATAAAAATGTAATATTGCTTAAACATTTAAAAAAATTAAATGACTAGGATATTGTATGACCTAATATACTCCCACATTACCGTAAAAATAAAAAACGCCTACTTAAAGTTTACTGCGTTTAATCTAATTTTTAGTGGACACGATAGTTTGGCACTTATAAAATCATTTCACTTATATCACGGCACTGGCATTTAAACTTGGTGGACCTTTTCTGCAACGTTGGGCTGCTTCCATCGTATATGGCTTGGTCCATCGGTTTAAAAGAGTTGTGACCATTAGAAAAGATGGTTGTTCGTTTTGGCGAGGGTTCCGAGATGGTCTGAGAGGAGATAGTTGGGTGGTGCCACTCCCAGAAGCGGGAAGCCTGATGGCTGACGCAGAAGGCCACAGCCGGCACTCCACTTGCCACTGCCCACGCCACTCACTGGCGGCTCAGAACCGTTCAGCTCCTCACAAAGCTTGTTTGCTGGAAAATTGTACATTATTAGACGTTTTATACTTCATATAAAAGAATTTCATTTTAAAATCTTAAAGCATTAAAAATAATAAATGGTTACAGATAAATTAGTAGTAAATGAACGTTATAGAACAGATTTCTTTAATACCATTGCACTGAAGGGCCAAAAAAGCATTATTCTCCGTATGAAATGTGATATAATTACAAAAATAAGATTAGATCAAGTTTAAGCTAATTGCAATCAGGGCAATTAAAACTCCTGCATTCAAATCAGGGTATGTTGAATCAGAGTGCAGGTGCGCCCGCGGATATGAAATAATAGCGGTAACGCAATTAAGCGCTAATCACCTAATCCTTGCCGCTCCGTTGTTTATTCAAGCCTGAGTGACAATCACGCGCACAATTAGTGCAAATGAGCCGAAGTGAAAATCTGGCGCGAATGTGGCGTGGCTTAGTGGCATTGTGTGGCGTAATGTGATTAATCCCGCCACAAGCCATTATCCGCCCTCAGCCTAGTAGCTACACCTGTATGCCTCTCGTTGTAAACGTCTTAGTGTTTGTCACCGTGTTGGCAGATCGATCGTCATTAATGTTTATTTTGGTCACATTATTAAATTATAGCTAGTACCGCATAAATCAATTTGGTTTGTCATAAATAATTTCTAATAAAATTCATGTATGTATATGTTATAAATATTCTATTTACTATCGGATATTTTAACGTGCGTGTAAAACGCGGTACAAGGTTCCATTTATTTTGAACAGGCGAAGACAAGATGGCGTCGAACTTGACCCTATTTCTTGTCCAACAAAAATGTATGTAATATCATTGGAATGGTCACATTTCAATGCACAATCTAATTATAAAATCTATTTTGAACACACATATTTCTGTTGTTGAAATCAGCCTTGTTATTTTCACCCACGCCGTCAACTAAAATAGTTCGATCGGACCGCTATAAGACGGAATGCGTTACTCATCACGTAATATAAAATATCAATTGCTCATGTTTTTTACAGCGTTATTAACCAAATATAAGTTCTTAAAGCTTTGCGTTCTTTTGGCATCGATAGATGTGTTTGGAAAATGGAAGTTTCAGAAATACTGATACTCTGAAATAACAAAATCAGTATAATAATAATCATGACAGTCTTGAGCAAAAAGATTTCATGACAGTTTATGAAAGATTTTAAAATAACGAAAATCATGTCAAAACAATCCAGTGTATTTATTTATTTTTATTTATCCTAATGAGATCTAAGATTTTCGCGAGTTTGATTCATTTAAATGAAACTAATATTTTTCGGATATACTACGCGACTTTATTTCTGTAAAAAATATCGGGATTATGTAGTGTTTCACAAAAAAATCGCGTAGTATATCTAGAAATATTAGTTTCATTTAAATTTATTTATCCTTTTATATATCTCCAAAAAAATTATATTAAAAAATATTTTCGCAACCAAAAAACAAAACTATCACCCAACAACAAACATCATCATATTTTTTTATCGCCTGTAATGATTATGAGATAATGTACATAAAAAATCTATTTACGAAACCTGTTTGAATATTATTCTGTGTTTCAAAGTTCTTTCAGCGTTAAAATTTGTATAAAACTTTTGTTTCAACACTAGGAAAAACACTACGAAGATTAATTGTTCATCACTCATTTCAATTGCCAAATAGTACAACTTACAAACATTTATGATAACAGAAAGAAATATATTGAGGGCAGTAACAAAATTCTGAAATAACATAAACATACACGTGTATAATTACTATATTTTCTGAGAGTCAAAGAAATAACTTATAGAAAATAATATTATAAGATCTACCTATTTTCTGATAAGCAGTGACTTCTCTTGAAATGTTTTAAATATAAACATATTGTTGTACATAATATTAACTATCAAATGTTGTAATTAGAATAAATAATGATAATTTATTTAAGCTTTAACCTATTATAATTTAATTCGTTTTTGCCCGTGACTTCGTCTACGTTAGTTAAAAATATATAACTGACTAGGCGAACTCTATTCCTCCTTAAAGATAGTAGATAAGAATATTTGGGATTTGATAATTTTTTTCTTTTTTAATCATATAAAAAGTATCCTATGTCCTTTCCTTTGTTCTAAGATATCTATCCACCAATTTTCAGCCAAACCCGTACAGCCGTTCTTGAGTTATAAATAGTGGAACTAACACGACTTTCTTTTATATAAAGAAGATATGACATAATGACAGATAGTTTTAAAAGAAACAAAATATCAGAAGAACGAAGGTTGAAAAAAAAGACATTTCTTTTACACCTTCACAATAATCATTTATTTCTTTTTCATGTCAACGAATCTTTATTTCTATCGCTTAAAAAACACTAAGTAATTCTCATATAATGTATATTATTTTTAGAGTATGATTACTGTGTATCGGATATGAGGTGATACGTCTGTGACTTTCAACTATTTTTAACGATTTCTAAACAGCTAAAAAATCGTAATTATATATAATTTATCTTAAAAAACATGTAGCCGTGACAATGTGTTGGACATCACTATTAACAACATAGTCAAATGACTTCTAATATTACATTATATTTTAAAATAAAACACTCAGTTATACACACAAAATATTGAGAAACTAAAACGTGTGCCAGCACTATTTGTATGTAAGGAAAGTCGTAAATTTCATTACTATATTTAATAAAATAGTTCACGTTTATTTGACATTGTAAAATTGTTTGGAATAACGCTCTGGTCTAGTAAATATAAAGCGTAATAATCCATACCTTTCAAAATCTTATTGACTCGAGTAGCATTAACAAATTGATAGAAAAATTTATAACAGCACCATAAATTGAAAGGTTAATTATTGAAAGATATTTTTTACCTACTATAATAGCGAAACCTCCTTAATAACATATGATATTAACCAAGAAAACGCTTCTACACCACACATGACGTTTAAACCAATCACCTATATATGTTCCTACATATAACATATATGCATATGTATATAATGTTAGCATACAATAAGCCCCATAAGTGGCCTACGAAAATAATAATATACGTCTACATCGTAAAATAAGTCTTAAGATATTCAAAACAAAACTTTTAACATGAATTCGATTAACCGATAACCAAGGCTTATATTTCCTTTCAGTTCGACAACTTTCTGAAATAACCTTTGAAATTAATGTAAACTAACAACGCTTAGTTAAGCCAAACGATAAAATGAATATTTTAATTAGCACTTAAACTTTTGATAGAATAGAGAGTATACTGTATAATTCAGTGGTGGCCTAGTGGTTAAGAGGCCCGCCTCTGTAGCTCGAGGGCGCGGATTAGATCCTGGCCCGGGCAAGCAACAATGTGATTTTTCTGAGACATATGTACTTTCTAAGAGTATTTGACATCACTGATTAATGTTGATTTCCAAAGAGGGTTGCTGTCAGGCAGGTCGTAAAAACAATTAGCCAAAACTATTCACAACATGCAATACAGACCCTGGCTATAGCTGGGAAATTGCCAGGTAGAAGAAGAGAGTATACTGTATAGGTAAGTTCCAATAATAGGTCAATTCTTACCTGCAGAAGTAATGGGTTTCAAGTCCGGTGGTGATAAATGTGGAAGGCTGTGGTGTGTTGGTTGTGATGGTGGTGGGTGCGGGGAGGTAGCTGGTGAGCCAGGCTTGTCTCTTTTACCCTCAGCCTTCACTGGAGTCTCACCAGCCTTTTGCTGAGCCAAGCGCTCCTGTTTCCGAAATTTAGCTCGTCGATTTTGGAACCATACCTAGAAATAATTTATTTTTAATATTGGCTTACATTAAAATTTGATTAGATTATAGATTAAAATGTATAAGACAATTTTTTACAGTTTGCGATTTATTTTAATAGCTTTTATTAAATGTTTAGCAGTAACTATTTGCCAGCGTTTCCTAAGTTCATCTTGCTAAACCAAGACTTGTTAGCTTGTGTTTATCTTCAGTTAGTCGACCAAAGACTGACTCTAAAAGTTAAATACACATAGTTTACAAAAAAAACATTACCCTTGCAAGCATTTGTTTCAGAAAACGAAATTACGAAATGTCAATAATCTCTCTAACAGCTTCAAATACGTAAAATATAAGAAATTAGCTGATAATAATTTAAAAAAAATCCAAAAACGAATTAAACAATTAAACAATTCAGCAAATGGAAACGTAATCCGTACATGGTAGTACATTTTTTTAAACTCAAACCGTTTTATTCGTACGTATTCGCGCAAATCCGAATTGATCGTAATTCGATTTGCTATCAGAGATAATTGCAACTGCCACTGGCGCTGATTGGGTGTTACGATGTTACTGTACAGAAAAAAAATGCTCGCAGATTCCACGACAATAATACGCACCGTATGTTTGTTCGTACCGGAGCAGGTTGATGATGTTTGCTTTACTTTATGTCCGTATCCCGACACGGAAACCCTATTAACTTATCTGACCGATTCATTATTATTTTATCAATCAATATATGGCTTACTTACTTTTATTAAAGGGTTTTATTTAAACGCTGTCGACAGTCATTACACGAAAAAGTATATAACAATAATTTATGTGCATATTGATGTACGGTCCTTTTTGTTCTATCTGCACTTTTCTAATAGAGATTTCTATGAAGAGGTAAGTTATCCTTTTTGAAAAAGATTCCTTTAATAGTATTATATTTTTTGTGGTACATATATAAATAGGAAAAAAAGCAATTATTTTATAACTCATGATGTGCAACTCTCGAACACAGCCATAGTAATAAAAAATAATTAAACTAATATGTAAACAAAAATTGATATATAATAAACTTACAGTAATAAAATCAAAGTTTAAGGTATAAAATTTATCTTTAATCAAATTAAAGCTAGGTATACACGTATAATTTGACATTAATTTATTAATAATAATCAAAATATGTCCTAATAACTGTTACTCTTGCTTTAGCAGTGTAAATTATATTTAATTTTATGGTCCTATAATTAAGGAAGTGATAAACAAATGTATAATATAAAACATAATATATAATTTACAGTTCCGTGTGTTAATAATTCATATTTGTTCTTTGTCTAATTATATAAAGAATTCTCGAAAGAACCGAGTGTTCCGGAGTTTTTGGAGTATATTTTACATACTCATGCAACATTTCATCCAAATTTGGTTCTACATTGACTAATATGAAATTAAATTATAGGATGAAATTACATTGTAATCAATTCCTTGAAGAATTTGACAATCGATTTCATTAGAAATGTACGTGATAATACTATTATAGCATTCTTTTATTGAACACTAGAAGACCTGGCGAACTTCGTATCGCCTTATAATCATTAAGTATCTATTACGTTTCTTTATTTATATTTTTGGAGTTTACCTGTATGCCATAAATCTCCGTATTTTGAAGTGCGACAGAATGATTGACATATTAGTTAGTTGTCAAATCTAATGTCAAAAAAAACGTTTGTATGGGAAATAGAAAAGGGCTGTTTTTATGGTTTTCCCAGTAATGAATCAATTTTTTTCAGCTTTTATACCTTCCCTGAACCTCCACGAATATTTCAAAACTAAGATAGGATAAATCCGTTCAGCTGTTCTCGAGTTTTAGCGAGACTAAGGAACAGCAATCCATTTTTATATATATAGAAGATAATCATTTCGTACAACACTTTAATGCAAATAACAATAAACGTTGATGTCCACACTACGCTAGGCCTAGGTCTAGGCCTAAGCTAGGCCTACTAGGCCTGGTATTTCATTAAGAATTCTAGTAATAAAATATGTTTATAAAACATAGCATTCAAATATAAATGTGTAATGATTTAATATTAATACAAGCGACGCCTACGTTACATGCGTACATCTCCTTGGCAGTGATAACTATTAGCGTTAATGAACTTCAGTTTTCTAGAAACAATTCTAATGTCTCATCAAGAGTCATCGTTTGAAGTTCTTCTTTGGCAGCTTCTCATAATCAGTATTTTGGTCATAATTACTATCAGAAATTAACACATGCGTATCATAGGGACCGACGCTTGCCACAAATGATTGTTCTAAATATGTCCAAACCCGAAATATGTATCAGAATTATTATTAATTTAATGTATATTATGGAGTATAATTTGTTGTCAGTTATTATAAGCTTTATAACATACTATATATAGATAATATATTTAAGTAATAATATTAAAAATTACATATATGTATATAAAGGTCTAAATATTTGGAAAAAACGGTACAATTACAAAATGCAAATATGTATTTGTAGTTCTTTGTTTTATTTTTTAGTAAAGAAATTACGAGGCAATGATATGTATACATAAAACTGAAAAGCTAGAAATCTTGTACATTATAATGTTAAATATTATAAAAAGTATAGGAACTTTATTAAGAAATAATAAAAAAGAAGTTAAAAGAATCATCTCTTCTGAGGTAATCTTGAAAGTAATATAAAAAAGCTATAATAATCGAAGCTTATTATATAATTTTAATAAGCTAAGCTGAATAATCATAATAATAGTTATTATTTAAATAAAATAAAAATATTGACATTGAAATTAAATATTCAATACTTATATTAAGGTGATCTCAGCAATGTTTCATTTTGAACACAACTGCATACGAGTTGTGTCATGCTCGTCAAATTAATGGCGGAAATTCTGAGAGAATGATATATGTATAATAAGTAATAATTTAAATTAATTATAAATTTAGATTTTCCTTTAACTAAAAATATATTAATTTTTTGTCATAGAAATACAAAATTCATTATTGATGAAATAAATGAGCATCAAGAATGCAAAATAAGAATTTAATAACTTATTTTCGAATTACTTTTGAAGTATATAATGAAATATACTTTTAAAATGCATATTATAATTAATTTGTTATACTATTTTTTATATTTATATACCCAGTAATATCATCACCCTAGCGTTTGTCCCGGTTGTTCGTCCCGCCCAGGGCGGGAGAACCCAGGGTCCGCTTTCCCACTCAGTTTCTTCCACTTAGCCCGGTCTTCGGCATCCTTCTTGTGGAGTCCATTGGCACGCATGTCATCTTGCACGACATCAAGCCAACGTCTTTTGGGCCTTCCTCTACCCCTGGCGCCAGGTAAGGTCATATTGAGGCATTTGTGACCCACGTAGTTTTCCGGTCGTCGTAAGACATGGCCGTACCAGCGTAGGCGACTTTCCTGCAATTTGTCGGCAATGTCACGGACATGCAAACTGCCCCGAATGTGTGAGTTACGAACGCGGTCTTTCCGCGTAACGCCACACATCCAGCGCAGCATATTCATCTCCGTGACATGCAACAACCGCCGGTGCCGCTCCAGCAGAGGCCATGCCTCACTGCCGTACATAAGGACAGGCCTAATGATGGTTTTATAGACCTGTCCCTTCAGCACGACCGGCATTTTAGGGTCACAAATAACTCCAATCACCTCACGCCACTTCGCCCAAGCCGCAGTTATACGGGCTTTGATGTCGCGATCGATGTCTCCGGACGCATCGAGCTCAGATCCAAGGTACTTGAAGTGATCCGTACGCCCTACCATGACGTCATCGATCCAGATGGAGGTAGGATCCGAGCTATTGCAAGCCATATACTCCGTCTTCGTCGCATTAATTTTCAGTCCGCCGTTCTCAAGTGCCTCTTTCCACTCGTGCACACGCCGGATTAAGCGTCCCTTGTCCTCATCTACCAGTGCGATATCATCAGCGTACATAAGCAGCCAAGGCGGTGGTAACTTCTGTACACTGGCTGACAGTTCGTCTAATATCACACTGAATAGATATGGGCTTAGGACAGATCCTTGATGCACGCCTACAGTAATAGGGAAAGGTGTGGTGTCACCAACAGCGGTCCTGACTATAGCATCGGAGTTGTGGTACATGTCTCGTACGATTTCCACATAGGTATTTGGCACCATCTTGGACCTCAACGCCCACCAGATTATCTCTCTGGGAACACAGTCAAAGGCCTTCTGCAAATCCAGAAATAGGAAATGAAGAGGCATATTCTTTTCCCTGTGTTTCTCCATGAGAATCCTAAGGGCGAAAATAGGGTCCATGGTACCACGTCCCGGTTGGAAACCGTACTGGAAATCCGACACTGTACACTCCTGCCGGATTCTGTTATCAATTATGCGCTCGAAGAGTTTCATGGTGTGTGACATCACTTTTATACCACGATAGTTACCGCAATCCTGAGCAGACCCTTTGCCCTTGTAGACCGGCGTTATGAAACTCAGCCTCCACTGATTCGGCATTTTCCGGTGGTTCAGGATTAGGTTAAAAAGGCTAGTAAGGATGCACACACCACGAGCACCCATCGCTTTCCACGCTTCAATTGATACCTCATCCGGTCCGACAGCTTTCCGATTTTTCATGCGACGAAGAGAATCGAGTACTTCACCAGTCGTAATCGGTGGCACAAGTCCTAGGTTTGGAGGAGGTGCTGGTGGTCGCACCTCTTGGTGTTGAGTGTTCAGTAATCCGTGGAAATAAAAGCGCCATCTCTCCTTCACTGCACACTCATCGTACAAGAGCGTTCCGTTAGCGTCAGTAACACAGCGGCAGTGACTTGTATCCTGCGCTGCCCTGATCCTAGAGCGTGCTAGTTTATAAATGAGCTTATGCCCCTCAGGCGAGTCCAACTTCGCATATAGTGGTTGCAAGTGTTCTCGCCTGGCTCTGGCTACAGCTTTCTTAGCCTCTCTTTTCGCAATCTTGTACGACTCGTGATCTTCAGGGGATTTAGACGCTTG